CACCACCCTGGAGGAAAAGGGACCCAACAAGTTCTTCGTTGGCCTTGACGTTGAAAGGCCCCCGGCCCCGGGTTCGGGTTCCAGTTCGGCCACGGGCCCCCGCCCGGGCCCCCGCCCCCGCGGGGACCCGGTTCTTACCTTAGGATTTTTTTGGGGCCCACCACCACCGGGATTTGGACCACCGGAAACACCAGCAGCGCCACCACCAGGAGGGGGGGGAGGGGGATTATTGACGAGCGGGCCTTCTTAAATTTAAAATTCAGGGGGGTAGGGGGGGCCAGGGGGGGAGATTTCCCCTTCCCCCTTGTTCCGGGTTGGTGTTTCCCCCCTCCCCCCGGGGGGTTCGCAGTTGAAAAAAGGGGGGGGGGGGGGGGGGGTGATGGTTTATTTTGGATGTTTTTTTGTTGTGCTTGCACGGGGAGGACGGCGATAATGCAACACAAACGCGGGGCGGAATGCTGTCGTGAATTTGATTGACCCAAATGACGGGAATTTGTCCTTTTTTTTTCTTCGTGGGCCGTGCTGTAGTGTAGTTCGTGCTTCGTCTTGGGTATTTCTGTGGCGTTGCGGGCCGGCCGTTAGGCTACCGAACCGAAGCGTACTTCTCCGTATTAGACTTTTTTTGCGGGGGGTATATATATATACACACACTGCTATAAATATGTTTATTAGCGTCTGTTTGTGCACGTTTAACAGCAGCAGCAGCAGCAGTCTGGTTGGAAGTGCTGCATTTGTAGCAGCTGGGTTTTCGTTCTTGTTCCGCCCGGCCTAAAATTGGGACGAAAGAGCGGCAATTTTCTTGAGTCACGGGGACGAAGCTGCCGGCCCGTTCCTTTTGAGGTGATTTTTTGGCCAGACGCTTTGTTCGGGGTGAACAAGATCGAAGCACGGGCCGCCGCCGTACAGCAGGCTGCGGGCGCGCGTGTTTCGTGAGCTGCCATGTCTATATCTACAGCGACGTTTGGGCACAAGCGGCCCCTCGGATGCCCCACCAAGCATTATAATCGGGATTACTTTCTGTTGGGCCCCGAGCCTCCTGATTTTGTTACCGTACCGATATTTCTACGTACAATGTTCGCCTTCTTCATGGCGACGTACCTCTGTGCGTACAAGGCGTAAGCATGAAACGCTGGACGTCATTTCGGCCGCGGGCGTTTTTGTTTTCCACGATCGGACCGGGGTCGATGAAATCTCGACAAACACACACACACAGGGTACGTGGGCGGGAAATCTTGTCGAATAGCGGGCTGTAGCCGGATGTTAGCCAGTCGCGGGCTTGGGGAGGCCTGTAAGTAATATCGACTCGCGATCTCCGAGTAACCTACGGCTAGCGATAGATGCGACTGGTGCGATACGTTTTTTTTCCGTTAAGAGATTACTTGTGCTTGTAGGACGAGGCACTTGAGAGTGCTAGTTGCTGCCGCGCACGTACGTGTGTGTGCGTGAGCGACCTTGCACGTAGGGGATACGAGCCTCCTGTGATATGTTGATTAGGTTTTGGGTTGTATAGTAATGACGCAGAGGACGATCAGGGGGGGGGGGGGGGCTGCGGGGCGGCTGCGGGAAAACCTGGGGGCGAGGATTGCTTGGTTACTAGCAGTGGGGAGCCACACCACGGGTGTCTACATTGAGCATGTTGGTGTTGATGCCGACGGTGGTCGGAAGCAGGTGACTGTTCGCCCTCTCGTTCGTATGTTTTACCTTGTTTCTCTTTGGATTTTGGTTTTCGTTCCGTGAGCATTGGGAATCGTGCCGGGGGGCGGCGGCTATTGTGCCCGCGGACATCCATGTCCTGCAGGAGGGGGGGGGGGCAGGGTGAAGGCGGAGATTGTGTAAGCCGTCGTCGCTTCTTTGCTTTGCTGACTTGGTCGTTGGCGGCTGGCTGTCGATTCACTTTGTTATTGATGGCCTCCCTCCTCCCCGTGCATGTTTTTTTGCGTTGGTTGCTCTTTTTCCGTGTAACGTGTGCGAGAAAGACATTATGGGTTGGTTGCAGATTTATTATCTGTCGGGATGGGTCGTGATCGATTGTTATGTAGTCTTCGTAGTGGGATGATGAGAGGTTACTGTTGGTGGCAGTAGTCCACGGTAGTATGTGTGTGTATTGGGTTTAAAATTGATCTGATTGTTGCTTAAATATGACTGGTAAGAGGGTCTGTTGCATGCTTTGAACCAATAATAACGCTGTACAGTAGTCGTGTCGGATGTCAAACACAAAGAAGTATTTGCTATTGTTTGTTCCTTGTTTGTTCGCCTATCTGTTGTTGTTGTTGTTGTTGTTGCACTTGTATGCATACGGCAGACCATGCATATATTGCCCCACTTGCGGAGAGTATGTCGAGGACACGCTCACCCTCCTCGTCACAAGGCATGTTGCACCCGCCATTGAAGAGAACGAGAGGCGAACACCCGATAATTGATGTGGTGTTCAGTGCATGTTGGACTCGCGTTCGTTCGTCCATCCGTCTCTGAAAACGAACAGCAACGAATGATCTACATAGTCTCCTCTCTCCCTGTAGTGGGGAGGGAATACACAGCGCGGTCTAGGCATCAATCCACAAAGCATACCACGTTCTTACTCGATCGACGACCGTTTGTGAGCGTACAACATGTGTTGTCGCCCCGGTGGCATAATAGTGGTAGCCTCGAAACCGCCAGTGGCAAAGTCGTGAGTTCGAATCCCCATGGGGGTGAAAAAATTACAACTTTGCAGGCGAGAGCGAAAAACAACGCTGAAAAAGCTCTCGTGAGTACGAACGAAACTTCGATGTTGGCACCATCGACAAGGGAAAGGGACCGATCCCGCGATAAAAAAAAAAGTTCAGCACGCACCGCAGGAGGAAGGTGCGGCGCGAAAACAAAATAATAATAAGAAAAGATCCCCGGTGTTTACTCCCACCTGTGTGACCCTGGATTGGTGGAATTGCACGAAAAAATGCCAAGTACTCTACGTAGTACGTACGTAAACTAAGGGTGTAGTACACGTCTGTCTGTCTCACCACGCACGAAAAATGGGGGGACTGTCGCCACAATAAATAGAAGTAGGACGAAAACACACACACACATGCGTTGAATTTTCGTTGCTCACGCTCGTTATTGTCTACTATAATACCCGCCGTAAGGGTGTAGTACACGTCTGTCTCACCACGCACGAAAAATGGGGGCTACTATAATAATACCCGTTCATCACTTGTCGCAAGAAATCGAAAACAGCCCCATCGTTCGCGCGGGCTGTCGCGGCTGGTTTCGCCGCGGGTGCTCGGGATCTTTTAGTAATCTCATATAGACTGTACTACGAGGTTTCCAGGTCAGCCTCCGCCTGTGAACGTGTAAACAGCAGTGCGGCCGTTGTCCGATGGTCAGAGTTACGACATCAACCACTAAGTTTGGGGGCGGGACCTTCAGCAGTCAGTCGCAGCGCGCAAGAGGCCTTGATTTACAATAACTATCCGCACCGAGATGAGAACGAGAATATTGGCGCCACGAAATATTAATATTCGCGACGAATTCATACGGTTTGGGCACGTCGTATTAACCACAAACATTTGTTTTGGAGCAGTTGGAGTGAGGCACGGGTGTTGGGGGCGATACATCCGTCCAAGAACTGTTGTTGCGGTGAGATGTGAGGCCAACACATTCTACATTACTCCCGGGAGGGCAGCTACTCTACATAGCAGCAGTATAGTTAGGTAGATCTCAAGACACTGAGATGATTCTTTAAAGTGCGCGTGTGGAAGTCTTTGCAGTGAGGGAGAGACACCTTCTTGTTGAGTCTGCTTAGACCTTTGCATCGAATGCCAGCCGAAGTGAGAACAATGCTGGCGCACGTAGCACATATGCGGAGCATGCACATCCCAGTATCCGAATCATGTAGTACTTGTAGGGCACGTTAGATCTACGGAATGCGGCGATTTTTCGCTGTTTTTCGGAGATCAGCCCATTTACGGCTCTCCCGCCAAATGCCGCAGATGCTATTGGGCCTATTGCTTGCGGTCGTCTGGTCATCCGTGCTGCTGCTGCTGCTTGTACTGTAGCAAGCACACCCGGAGGCGGGAAGCTGCTCGACACCTGACCCCCAGGGTTACATCCAAGCGCGGTTCGCTCGTTGACAAGTTGCCCTTGAGAATTCGGAGAACAACAGTTTCGGAGAACCCGTCCGTGTGTGTGTCAGCAGCGAGGGGCGTCAACATCACTTCAGGGAGACACAGCAGAGGATAGCCCGCACGAGCTGAAGCGAGGGCATCGTTCGGGTGAATCTACTGCGCGCCTGAGCGTCTGCTAGACGTTGCGCAGAGGTGCCGGGCGAAGCGAGGTGAGCGAAAGGGGTGTGTGTGTGTGTATGTGTTCGATGAGAAATTGCTCTCGTCGAGAATTATGAACGTGGGATGTGTGACGCCGCCCAGCGGCAGGGGGGAAGAATATTGTAACAGCACATTGAACAGGGGCTTTGGGTGCATTTCTTTCGCAGATTTTCGACGTGTTGCTGGTGGCTCTCTAGCCCCCTTCCGCATGGGAAACTCGCAGTGGAGTGCCAATGCCTCCGTCTTTTAACTGGTGTTGCAGAGGTTCATCACGGATTGTTGACCGCCCAATAAAAAAATAACTTTGACCATGGGGAGGTACGACAGCTTTTGCGAGTATCAGCTGCAAATACTGTACTACTGTGAGCTCGAGAAAAACCATACTACTCCGGTATGTATTCAGCAGTACTGCAGTTTAGAGAGTGCAAGACCCCTTTCCCAACGGGGCGTCTTGTATCTCTCTCTCTCTCTCTCGCTCTCTCTCTCTCGAATGTTGTCAGGATGTTATCCCGGACGTCTCTGCGAATTTTCATCTCTACAGTAGACAGGCTGTAAATTACCCTGCTTTGAGCATTGCAATACCAATATGACATGTCAAATGGGATTGATTCCGTGTGCATGTGCTTGAGGGATACGCTACTGCTGCAAGTTCGACGAGGGCACGAAGCGGCTGGATCCCTTGTCGCAATAAAAGTCGTTGAAGGCAAGCACATGGAAGCAAAGTTGAGAAAAAAAAAATAGTGCGGAATCCTTTTTGTGATGGCTTTCCTTCTGCCCTCCTTCCTCCTGCGTCGTTACCCGGCTGGTGCGTCAAAGACCACAGCCAAATGTTTTCTTCACTGTAAAAAATCTATAATTGCGTGCTAAAGCTCGCCCACGCCATGCTTGCTGCAACCACTGCAGCCCCAACCATGCGCCGCCAACCAAGGGAGGGGATGTGATACGCCTATGTTTTTCCAAGGGTGCAAACTACAGAACGCCCCGTACCCAGCATTTTTCCCTTCTACCACCCTACCAGCATTCAACATACGGCAATCAGATGCGCCCGATGATGGCCACCACGAAAACTACTGCTGCTGTCTTTTTAGAGCCTGTTGCCCATGTAGGGGGGATATCACTGTGCGCTGCTCCGGGAACCGTAGGAATGCTGGTAGTGCTTCCGCTACCGCTAGGGATTCATTGCTAACTAGTTGATGGACTCTGAAATCGTTGTGTTGTGCTTCTTCGAAGAATAAAGAAACCCACGATCGGAATAAAATGGGATGGCAACACACTGATCGGCCAGCCGGTGTTGTTTGTTGAAGAAACCTGACACCCAGTAGCAGCTGCCACCGTTTATTAGTTTTTGAAGCGTTGGACTGACTAGGGTCCACCCTGACGTTGCTTGTCTACATGCATGGTATACCCTAAATACACATACATACGGCCACCTGGATCAGTAGCAATAAGCGGTTATTCTATCTACCGATTTCGTGCTTTTTCCCATCCTGCGCGCACACGAAACAGCGAGGTTCCAGCCTGTGTACCCCAAGAGGGAAAGGAATCCAACTACTGTAGCTATGGAATCGCGTGACGAGCCGGTTATCTTGTCCGACTTTACAGGAAGGACACTATTGCTGCTGTGGTGCAGACACCGCGTGACAAGCCCGTGTTCGAACAGGACGGGCACTAATGCTACCGTGGTGCAGAGAACCAAGCCAGAGGAGAGAGCCACCACTTCAAAGTCGGCCGGCCATCTTTCACTTGGCACTTACAATACCACAACCAACCAATCAACCCCGGCACGCCGTATCGACCACGCACCGCATCATCAAGCGGAAACGAAGGACTCTACTCGAGCCTCTCAAAAGTCACTCCGCGTTTCCCCCCCGTCGTCGTCGTCTTGTCAGCCCTTGTGAAGGAAGCAACCAGGCAGGGCGCGCGCGCCTGGTGTTATTTCCTGAGCCACCAACCATACGGGTTACTCTAACGACGTCGGCATGGGTGGCAAGCCCTCCGCAGCGGGAGGCGCCGTCGACGCCGCCCCACCCCCGGGGATGCAAGAGCCTGTCCAAGGCGCTAGCGGTACGTGTGTGTGTGTGGAGGGGGGGGGGGGGGGCGTGTGTTTTACTTATTAGCATTGACCTCGCTAAACGGCTGGCCGATACAAGGGGGGGCGTGTGTGTGTACATGTGTGTGTGTGTGTTTTTTTTTTTTTCACATTGCTTGCGCTAACCGGCTGACATACGAAATAAACGTGTGTGTGCGTTTGTTTTGTTTTGGCTAGCATCGACCGCGCTAACCGGCTAACAAACAATAAAGACGTTTGTGTGTGTGTGTGCGCGTTTGTTTGTTTTGTTCGTTGGCATCGACCGCGCAAACCGGCTGACCGATGAAAACACGTCAGTCTCAGCGCGGTCAAGACTCTAACGACCATGATCTGGGACGGCGTGAGCAGGGAGTCTTGACGCGTTCTGTGTGTTTTCATGTAGCTTTATTATTTTTTTGTTGCATCAGCCGCGCAAACCGGCTGACCAATGACAAGGCGTTACAATGAGGGTGCGTGTGTGTTTGTCCCACCTAGAGTATTCGGGCAGCAGTCTACACCATTCGGTGTTGGTACATGTCTGACGTACCGGCCGGGGTGACGCTACAACAATACATAAATATTTTGACCGCGCATCTCAAGAGAGACGGCGCACACACCTTCCTCCCCTACATAATCTCCGAGACGAGATGCCTCAAACACATGCAAATGCTCTCTCTCTCTCTGACTATTCTGGTACCGCGAACCGTCTCCGCCACTGCTGCAACACGGCGGCAGCAGAACTGCAAACCAGAGACGGTGGAGGCAAGAGCGACAACGACAGCGGCGGCACATCGAAACACAACGACAGCAGCGGCACATCGAAACACAACGACAGCAGCGGCACATCGAAACACAACGACAGCAGCGGCAGCGGCAGCGGCGGCGGCGGCGGCGGCGACCCCTTATCACCATCATCGCCGCGCGAGAGCGCGGAACCTCGCGGTGCCGGCGGCGTCGAAGCTCTGGACACCGCCAGCCCCGCCCCAAGCCCAAGCGATGGGCCCCGCCTCCTCCGACGGAGCTCCTACCGACGGCGGAGGCGGCGACAGCCGCAAGACGGGGGTGGCGGCCGTCCGCGTCATTGACCCCCCCGACGGCGGCGGCGGCGGCGGCGGGGACGCCCCGCCCGTCCCTGCCGGCCCTGGGCCCGCCGCCGCAGCAGATGCTGCTGTGCGGTGTGCTAGCCCCGGCGATAGCGGCGGCGGTGGTGGCGGCGGAGGAGGCGCCCCCCCCCCTGGTGGTGGACTTGACGGTGAGGCCGAGCCCGAGGCTGCACGGGGTGCTGTCGACGGTGGGGACGCCGGCCGGAGCGGGGAGGGCGGAGCTGCGGCGGCGGCTGTTGCTGAAGCAAGCGGAGCAGGTGCGGAGGAACAGTAGAGAGGTCCGGTTTCACTGGTGGTGGTGGTGGTGGTGGTGGTGGTTGTGGTACTTCCGTGTTTGGCTTCTTGTGGGTGGATGTTGTCGCTGTTTATTGGTGTAGACGTCGCCACCACGTGGTAGGTGTCTCAGGCTGCGGCGAACGAGAGCCCCCTCTACCGCGATTTCCTGCCGCCCTTCTTTTTGCCCTTTGTAGCGCGTTGGACGAAGATATATCGTACTGCTTGTTGGAACCGAACGAAATTCGACGTCGCACCCAACGCGCATGGACGCCTCAAACCCCGATCCTCCGCTTGTCCGCTC